CTTCGCTGGAGTTGCGCTGTGTCTGTATATACTAGGGGGGTTATCTCTGTGTTCTGGGCCGATTCCCCAATTGATAGTGTACTCGTGTCGTATGCCTTTATTGGGATCTAGCGTGGATGTAAGTAGATGGTGGCTGCACCAGCCATCGCAGCGTGGGGGGGCATGGGAAGGAAGTGAAGTGACGAGGGGAGGGCGAGATAGGGGGGGCGAACACGGGGAAAGAAGTTGAGTCGGATATGGGAGGTAAAGAGGGGGTAAACACAAAGGGGGGAGGAGATAGTAGGGAATCAGCACAGGAGAAAGCTAGTGTGGGCAGAAGCAACAGACATGAGAGAGGGGGGGCGGGGGGGAAGGAAGCAGGGGGTGGGGGAAAGGAAATCGCGCGAAGGGGAATAGGAGTACCGAATAGAGAGATACGTGGCGGGGGAGAGGGATAAGAGAGACTCGGGAGAGGAATAGAAGGAATGAGGTAAGGGTTGCTATAATAGATGGGGAGTGGTTCATGAGTGGGAAAGAGGACATATCTGAAGGGAAAGCGGTGCTAGAGGGAATATAGTTCGGACGAACGGGAACAGGCGTTCGGTGAGAGGAATGGGGACTCGAAAGAGGTGTAGATGGTGGCATTCTGTAAAGGAATGATAATGGGGGGTCGTTTTGTTGGGACAGACAGTGGTCGGTAACGAGAGCGCGTATGGGTCGGAGGATTTGAGGTGAACAAAGTAAGCGCGATAGGAGAAGGAGGTGGAAGAAACAATTGACGAAGAAAGGTCTATGAGAGGACCAAAAAAAGATGTCGGGATGAGGAATTTCTGGGGGAAGGGCGTTAAATGGAGTAGACAAAAAGAACGAGGTGGGAAATGATAAAACTTCGGACCGTAGGGGAGAGAAATGAAGTGGGATGGAATAGGGCGGAGATATTGTTGGGAGGGAGCGGCGGAGAGGGGGGAGTTTAAAACAGAAGGGGAAGCTAGAGTTAAAACGGGAGTGTTAAGACAAAGGAAGAGAAAGGACAACGTTAGAGAGTATAGGGGGGGGAAATGAAGGGGAAGAAAAGATAAGTAAAAGGGGGGTAGGAAGCGGCGTTATAGGTAAAGAAGTATTGAGAGAGAGACACAGTGGGGGGGGGGGCAAAGAGTAGAGGAGTGTCGAAGGAAGAGTAAGGAAAATAAGGATGTAGAGGCGACGGGAGCAGTGAAACGAGGGGGGAAAATGAGGAAATAAAGTAAATGCGAGCGGGATGAATCGTTAACGAATGAAAATAAAATGGATTAACCAGGTGTGTGAGTATGGTGAATGGGGTGTGTGTGGAGGGTATAGAGGGCAGTGGCGAGGAGTAGGCAAGACGAATCGGAGAAAGGTGAAACGAAGGGCGTCGGGATTGGAGTGAGGGGAGCCAATGAAAGGCGAACCGAGAAGCAGAGTGAAAGGAGGAGTGGAAATAAGCTGAATTGGGGTCAAGCAGCAGTAAGAGGGGAATACGAGAAAAACGAAAAGAACGTGTGACAGGAAAAAGGATGATGAGTAAAATATGAGATGGAATCAGAGGAGTAATAGGGGAGACAAAGAGGCGGTAGGGGACGAATAGGTAAATCTTCGGAGATTGCTACGCTTGGATCGGAGAGGTGAGTACGACAGTATACTAGTCCGGAGTGCCGGTGGACCCGACAGAGATTTTGCCATCAGGACTTTCTGTCGTCGCTTGCGACCGATTGGTAACTGCGGCTAGTGTGCCATACTTACACGTGATATAACCAGTCTGGTTGAAAAGGGTAGAGCAAGGCGCAGGGTCTAACCGATACCGCGTACTTGTTGCAACTGGAATGGGGACTTACCTTCGTGACGCTAGAATCGAGATGGGGGTGGCCGTAGGGCTTTAAAGCTGTGAGTTGTGGCACATAGAGTATCAGTATGTCTGCTCTTCCTGTTCAATTAATTTTAACATTTAAGAAAGATACTACTTTCAGAAAATCGCATCTGATTAATAATAAACAAATTTCTGTCAATCAAATGCGGCATAAGAACTTCTTATATAAGACGGAGCATAATTAGCTTCAGGATTTAAATGATAATTTTTTCCATCCTATTAGCCCAAAAGAGCTATTAGTCTCGAAATATGATTTTGCTTTGTTTCACTTTTCATTCGAGTCCATTGCCACTCGGCGAAATGCAAGAAATTATCTTTCAAATCTAATATATTTGTTATTAAATAACAATGTAAGTTATTTAAAAGCAATAAATACAGTTCTTTTTACTTTTTAATCTAATTGATCTAAGCAAAAATACATTTAATTCATAATATTTCTAATTTAAAACATTAAATATTTTTATAGAATTACGCTATATTTTCACTTATAAGATATACAGAAGATATATAATGTTCCCATTTTAGTCTGTATTCATATAGTACCCTATTCAAATAGTATTCATAAGTTATAAAATGTTTTGCATTCCACTGGTCCTCGAACGCCCGTTAAAATCTTAAGCCTTTCAGATTTTTTATTGTATTTTTCTCTTTTCCTTTTTAGGACTGTAAGCCAACTCACAGATATTCAGTATGTAATGGAAAATTTCAGTGTCAAGCAAAGGTTTTAATCTTTTCAATTTTATTCGAGTTGCCAAGCTTGCTATTCCACCTGGAGTTTGGACGCCCGTTAAAATCTTAAACCCTTTCAGATTTTTTGCTTACCCTGCTTTAAAATATAATACCTAATTGAAACCCTGCTTTAAAATATAATACCTAATTGTGTTTTTCTCTTTTCCTTTCTAAGACTGTAAGCCTTAGATATTCCGTATGTAATGGAAAGTTTCATTGTCAAGCAAAGGTCCAAAATTTTTCAATTTTTTTTTTAATTCGAGTTGCCAAGCAAAGGTGTTAAAATTTGAGTTGGCAAGCCTTGAAAATCAGCATATTGTAATTTGATTGATCAATATTTTATTTTTTGCAACAGAAAATGAAAATATATGCAAAATTTTAATTATAATATAATTTAGGGTAATCCTAATAAATTGAAATGTTTATGGCAACAATTAGAGAATAATATACCAAAATTTAAATATCTGTGAAAAATAGAAAGAATGTTCAATGTTAACGAAAGAAATGCTCCATGTAAACGGAATTATCTATATTTATCTGTGCAAAATTTAGAGCAAAGTTTGAAATTTCTGTACGCTTTGTAATGTATTATGTATAATATATACATTATATGGTAATGCACTGAGTTACAAATAAGCGCAATCGGAAGGTCGGGAATTTGGGCCTGGAGAGAGCATTGCTCGTATTTCACGTCTCCTGCTTTAAAATATAATACCTAATTGTTTCTAGAGACCTAATAAGACATAATAAAAAGCAGACTTCCTTTCTTTTACTTTTCTCTTTTCTTCAAATGATGAGACACTTAATACCACCGCATTTGTCAGAAATCGCCGAACCGATAATTCATTCAGTATCTAACATGACCGAGAACGTTACACAGCTTACGCCATTAGGAGTAATCTGATATTACGTTCGCGAGAAGACGAAAAGATACATTAACAAGCAAGCTTCACACGAGAGTCAGACCCTCATTTTGCAAGTCAAACTAGCAGTCAGTCTGCGCTAATCGCTATAATTCCAACGGGTCGGTAAAACAAAACTAAATATCATTCTTCGGACTGAAATATAAGTGCATTTTTATTGTATTTACGTATTATCGCAATTACCTGGGTAGAAGTCGCCAAATTCTGGAAACCATGCACAGAAAAGTTCTTTGAATAGCCATATAAATTGTAAGTTGCAATCCAAAAAGTCACCGAATCATCTTTTCCTATCATACCACCGAATCATCTTTTCCTATCATACCACCGAATCATATCGCCAAACTGCGTCAAGGTGGGTTGCGCTGATACGTAAGTAACTTTTTTATTTTTTCTTTTAATTCATTAAGTCATTTTGGTTAAATGCGAACAGACCATAAAAATTCCTCTTCTGTGTTAGGATCTGCATTTTGACAAGGAGATTTTCATTAGATGCTGAAACTTTTCCACGGATTTTTCTCTTCCCAAGGAAACTAAGTCATTCATTCTTTATCAGGTATCAATATCAGTTTTACTAATTGCTAATTAAAATGTGGCAGTAATATTTTTTTTATCAATAGTACTAGTGTAAGAATGGCTCTAGTGTAGAATTGGGTGCCCCTTCGATTAGCAACAATTTTATTTTTTTAATTTTGGCGATGAAACCTCAGTTCTGGTTACCATGATAGTTTTAACTGTGTTTTAGCTTCCTGATTTTATTTAAATGAAAATAGATTGACGTGAACATGGACAAATTTAAGGTAGTGCGCAATGCCTAGTTTGTGCAATTCTAGGATGTTCTTTTAAGTGAAAACAAATCGATGTATACATGAACACAGAGTTTGTGCAATTCTTTGACTTCTTATTTTGGTTCTGTGTAGCGGCCATTTTGAAATTGTGCCTTCCTGGCGCCGATCTTGGCGTCAAAAAAGAATCGCTAAGAAACCAGGGGCACCAATTGTAAACTTTTACCTTTTCTGTTAATATTAGGGTGAAAATGTGCTTTAGCCCACTGCTTGGCGATTTTCAGTAGTGGCGATGTTTTGAAGATCGCCAGCAAAATCTCAGAATACGTTGCATAAACAAAGTTGCGAAGGCTGAGATGACGTCCATAAATGGGTGGGACTAAACTGTGACTCACAGTATTCTCACAAGAATAAGTAATAAATTCTTTATATTTTAGTTACAAATGCAGTCGTGAATTGTCCAGTTTTTCACAACGGTAAACACGGTCGCAGTCTCTTATTTGTATTTCATACAGCTTCAGGATTTTCAAAGATTTTTAAGCTTTAGAATTTATACAAATAAAAAAAGATTTTTTATTAAATGTATTGAGGCAATTATATCAGAATGTTTCAAATTATTGCATGTCTTTTAAATAAAATAGTACATATTCCAATTTGTGTTAAATCTATTAATATAAGAGCTCAACAAATTTCAAGACTTACCCCTTCGATGATTTTCTTGATGCTGGATATATTCCGGATAGCTGCTAGAAAAAAAAAAAACTAATGTCTTCTTTTGTGAATGATTCAAACCGTAAAATAAATCATACACATGACTTTGCTTTTTCTTGGTTTTATGTTGACGTAATATTACTTACATTTTTAGTTTCAAAGGATAATCATTTAAAGAACAATATCCGATTACAATAACTACCAAAAATCGAGTTCAAGTTCTTAAAAAATGCTAGTTCTACGGTTTTCGTCTGGTTTCTCTCTGTTGCCAAAACGCTCGAATCAATAACTATTTCCCCCCCCCCCTTTTTTTTCCGGAGCAGTTGCCAACAAATTTAAATTCATGTTATCGAACATTTTAATTTTATCATTTTTACCAATTACCTTGCTGCTATGTAACGACACAATCCCTTACGTACTATTAGTAGAACAATCTTCATTATTTTCTAAAATATTAAACTTTACATTAATCAAAAAGAAAAATTTGGTATTATTCCGTTTGAGGCCGTAAAAATTGCAGCGAAAATGTTGCGCAAAGCGACACTCTAGCAAACGCCCCATTTATTTAAACAGCGTACGCGCTGATTTCAGATTGCGTAATTTTATATAGTTCTATATTTCTTAAGACGCCATTGAAATACAAGTTTAATTTTTAAATCCTTCTTTGATTTTAAATCCTTTTTTGATATCCTACGGATTTAACAATTTGGGAATTGCCCATGACGAAAAGTCGGCAATAGAATTTTGAGTAAAGTGCAGAATCACCCACTGCCTGACGCGTTTATAAGAATTGCACATACTCGGTATCCATGTGCACATCGACCTATTTTCCCTTAAAAATAAAAATCCTAGAATGCACAAGATGGCCTTGACTTTTTCTATGTACACATAGACCTATTTTAAAAAAAGTCAAAAAATTGAAAAATCCAATTGTTTTGACCCTTAAAGCGTTAAACAAATAAGTGGCGATTCTGCACTTTAACCGAGAATATTTCAAAGAAACATTAATTTCTTCATTCCTTATAGAAAATACGTTTGCCAACCAACGAGATGAAATTATGCTTTAGCGATAAGTCGTACGAAATAGCAATGCAGGCAGCCATTCGTTAGTTTAGCAATTTTTTAGATAAGAATGATCTGAAATAGTTATTTACTTTTATGCTTCCATTCAGTCCTGTTTAGCCTTTTTCATATAAATTAATAATAAAAAGTATTATATGAAATTACCTTCATCTCAATTAAACATCAATCTTGAATAGTTATATTTCCTTTCTTGCCGCAATTATTAGGGTTGCCGCAATTATTTTGGCAGCATTGGCATCAACAATATTTGGCGATTTTACGGTCCTCGAAACGAATAGTACCAATATTTTTATTGCATATCACATCATACAGCTTTCATCACTGTTTCTTAATTCTTACATCACGTCATATTCATAGTCATACTAGAATTCTACACGTCTAACAAATAAAAAAATCTAATTTCTCAAATGAAAACTAAACACTACAATTTAGAACATTAAAAAACGCTTCACACGCACACACATATTATCAATGAACAAAAAATTCAAAGCGATAGCAAATACTACGTATTAAAATAACAGTAAATTATTTATAGGGTCAAGTTTATAGTTTGCTACTTTGAGTAGATCGTCGGATTATCGATATTTTTCGGAAAGCATTAGCAACATATCAAAACAACAATTAAATACAATTTAAATACAAAAAAGAAAAAGATGTCTAAAGTATAACTTGCAATTAAAACAACAATACAAATTTAAAGTACAGACATTACATTACTGCTCGGTATAATATACAGCCTCGCTTTGCCCATGTGCACAACGATCTGTATTCGCTCGAAAAACATCAAAGAATTGCAAAAATTGGTGGTGTCGATACACATCGATCTATTTTTACTCAAAAAAATCAGAGAATTGCACAAACTAGGCATTGCGCACTGCCTTGGCTTTGTCCACGCGCACATCGATCTATTTTTACTTAGAAAATATCAGAGAATTGCACAAACTCGGCATTGCGCTCTACTACATATGCTTTGCCCGTGTACACATCAATCTATTTTCACTTAAAAAATCAGACGCCATTGAAATACAAATTCGGCATCGCGAACAAATTCGGCATCGCGAACAAATTCGGCATCGCGAACAACCTCAGCATTGCGCATTGCATTGCCTTTGCCCATGTAAACATCGATCTATTATCACTTAAAAAACGTCAGAGAATTGCACAAACTCGCCATTGCGCATTGCATTGGCTTTGCCCATGTACACATCGATCTATTTTCACTTAAAAAAATCTTGCATAAAACTCGCTTTGCCCACATTGGCTTTGCCCATGTACACGTCGATCTATTTTCACTTAAATAACATCAGAGAATTGCACAAAGTCGGCATTTCGCACTACATTGGCTTTGTCCATGTACATATCAAACTATTTTCACTTAAAAAATATCAGAGAATTGCACAAACTCGGCATTGCGCACTGCATTGACTTATCCATGTGCACATCGATCTATTTTCACTTGAAAACACATCACAGAATCGCACAAACTCGGCATTGTGCACTACATTGGCTTTTCCCATGTACACATCGATCTATTTTCAGTTGAAAAATATCAGAGAATTGCACAAACTTGGCATTGCGCACTGTTGTGTGCACGATTATTTTCACTTGGCATTTTCGGCATTGTGCACTACACCCCATGTACACATCGATCTATTTTCAGTTAAAAAATATCAGACAATTGCACAAACTCGGCATTGCGCACTGCATTGACTTTTCTATGTGCACATCGATATATTTTCACTTTAAAAAAATCAGAGAATTGCACAACCTCAGCTTTTCCAATCTTCTAGGATTAAGCCAAAAAGATAACAAAATATTAAAAATAAGCAACTTTAAAACGAAGCATACAAGAAAAATTGTTTCACTTACCCTTTTCAGGAAAAATGCAGTCTTTTTAAGGGTTTTTATATCTCTATCTTCTCTACATATAATAAAACAAAGAGTCTGTCTGTGTGTGTGTCTTTCGTTCGCGCTGCCCGTTAATAGACCCACGGCTACGAAATTTGGTACATAGGTGCATCTAGACAAGAGCCAATGCACCTCGAAATTCGAATTCGAATTTTTTTAATTTTATGTTTTGTGACGAAATCGCGTCATTTTGAGACATAATGGGCTAGCGAGATTTTACTCTACGCACTCCATTTTCACATAGTCGTGAAATGTAGGCACTTAGCTATTTTACGAACTTAAAATAAATTTCGTGTTTTAATAAATCGATTAAATACGAATTTATTTAACAAAGGGAGCTTAACACCTTTTCAACGGGATTTTTTCTAAAAAAGTTTATTTTAAAAATGTACAGTTTTATTTTCCTTTGATTTTTTTGGAATGTTAAACTTTCATCCTTGCGACTGCTTTTACAAAAAGAATTTGAAAAATGATAATATTTTGTATTTTTAAAAAATTTTTAAATGAAGCTTCCGAGTACACTTTTCACATCTCACATCTTTAAAAATGTGATTTTGGCAACAATTTTCCTTATTGTTGTTGGTAGAATTTTGAAGAAATCGCATTATTTTGAATAGTTTCATTCTTTTAGAAATATGGGTTTGGCAACAATTTTTCATCGTATTTCTTATGTTACCGTTTTTAAGAGATTGGCATATTTCATTTTATTATTAGTCCAAAGGGACTTGAGTCCCGAAGGACTATTAGTTTCGTTTTGGCATTTTGCGTCGGACGGATAAATGTCGGTTCACTTTTCAAACGTTGCCATAAAATGTTAGAGTCCTGCATTATATTTGAAGAAATTAAATAATGAAAATCTACGTAAATGTAAAATGTATATTTCTCACATTGTCATAAAATAACGGTACATAGAGTCATCGAATTTTGAATAACGTAATCCTCCAACGAATATGAGCATGTGGAAGACCAAATTTGAAATTTGAAATTTGTTTTATGATCGATTTCCTATTTTTTAAAACTTTGACGACGAATTTTCGATTAACAAAACTCAAGGATTTCAAAGCGAGCAATGGCAACGTTGTGCAGAAAAAAACATTTTTATCTCCAGCGCGTGAGTCTCTGTATCGGAAATTCTAAAGATATGCTCGTTTTAAAACTATTTGCGATATTGCTGTTGCACTGGATCTTATGGTTTAAGTGCGAGGAACATGATATTTAATAAAGAAAGGTAACACACAAATGTTAAAAAACGCCCCTTTGACGTAATTTAAATCTGAAACATTTCAGTTTTTTTTTTTTTTTTTTTTTTTTTTTTTTAGTAACGGTTGCACGATTTTGCCGATTTTTCGTTTGCAAGTAATACGACTTATGGTTACCCATTGCTGGATAAGTTATTTATTGGTACACTTTGCTGGCATTTTATCAATGTTCCCCTACTTAAAAAGTTGGTTTTTATTATCTATAAATTTAATCTATTTTTCACATTCTTATGGCTGTTAAGTATTAAAGGTAGGTACGAACTGCGCCAAATTTGATCGAAGACCCCCTCCCCTCTTATTTAACCCACGAACTGCGCGACGTTCTGTCCCCTATTCTTTCCAAGAAATTGGTACTACAAAGACATTCACGCCATAATGAGACATTCTATGAAGAGCAAGCCTTGTTTCGTTTATCATGTTAAAAATTGTGCATGCAAACATCTTAATTTAAAGTGGGTGGCTAAGTAAATAAATTTCTTTTACCTCTTTTTACATTTTATGATGCTTAAAGCATGATGAGCCAGATCTTTTTTATTCTCTAAGAATTAAAACTTTCCAGTTGATTTTAGTCGCTGATTGTAATATAATAATTAAGTTTGAAGTAAAATTGAGACATAATGACATACCAAAACTGATATAATTAACCTATCAAATATCGATTTTAGCTCACTTAAATAAGTTCTTGTCTAGATAAAATTAACAAATCTTCTTGATAGCAGAATGGTTTTACTTTCAAATTTACCATGTTAGGAAAGTTCTAATTTAATTAAAAAATTCCCTGTATTAATCGAAAAATTGGCCTTAAGTCGTTCTAATTCACACTAATTATTGAATATACTCCCGTATGACCTAAGTACCCATTCAGTCATTGAGTTATTTTAAGGTTATTTACTTTGTTACAAATTATATTTTATACTAAAACGTTTAATATTTGTTTTTCACCTGATGTCCTTGGCATACATTTAATTC